TGTGTGCTTTCGAGGGCACTTGCTCCACCAAGCCCCAACTTTTGGGATCCCTAGGGATATAAAGGCCTTGGGCCTTTGGTCAAAAAGAGTGATATCCTTTTACCTTCCCTCTTTACACTGGTAGTGGGAGACACGCCACATACTGGATGTGTCCCAAACTGCCGTCTAGGATGTGTCCAAGGTACACAACCATTTCTGCTGTGGGGTCCAACAAACAACAATTTTGTGCCCATGGCATGTGCACTGATGGGGTTCTCCTGACAAAGAAAGACTATATGAAACAATGAGATACATGTAGCAACAACAATAGCAATCGATGTGTAATGATGTGTAATTAATTATTAAACTTATCTGAAGTATAGTATCTATTTGCCTCAACCACAATGGACACATGCACATGAACAATTAGAAGTCAAATACAGCTGCAGGTGGCGACTTGCCTTGTGCACACATGTAGTGTGTTTCTTCTATCCGTTGCATCTTGCATTGTCAGGGAGCCTACAGTATCCGGTATCGAGACCCTCAAGGCAAGCCAAAAACGGTCAATCTGCCGAGCAGTCTACCGTGCATATGACCTGCTAGGTCATGTTCTCCAACATGATGTTTCCTTCCAGGACACTTGCTTGAAACTAGAACTCACAATTTTTAGTGTTTAATCCTGCTCTACAGTCCCCACAGAATTACAACATAGCCCTCACGTGGTTTTGCAAGGGCAATCTATTCAATCTCGGAAACACCAAAGACACCGGACCAGCAACGCAAACCGACACCGGACAAGGTGAGTACGCCGACGCCGACGCGGGCCACTGTGCAGACGAAAAAAGACATGCCTGCAAGCACACTGGTGCCATCCCTGCCTCATCCAAGACCACTTGAAGCAGCTCGGGCGCGCCCTCAGCCTTCGTTGAACAAATGGTGCAGAAGCCGGTGAAGCCGTGAATTCACGCCACCCTTCTGAAAGAAGTTGAAAGGGTTTCCACCCTCTTGGACAAAGGTTGAAGGGGTTTTGCCTTTTCCACCCACACATCTTCGTGTCTAATGAAAAACTGTCGTCAGATCCCCTCAATCAATCATTCGATCGGAATGGCGATGCACCCGGGGCGACGCCACGTGCACCTTCGACCTTCGCCACGGTGCACCGGTGCACACCGGTGCGGCACCTGCAATGCGGCGCTCAAACCGCCGCGTCGTGCGGAGATGCAGGTGGCGAAGACCACATCTGCACGCTTCAACTCGGCACACCGTGCGGCACTGAGAGCCAGGTAGTACCTGCCGTTGGAACTGCATCCATTTGGTGTGGAAGCTTTTAGTATACTATATAATATACATATACATATACATATATACTGTATATATACATAATATATCGACGAGGAAGCTATTATAAACTATATTGTTCACAAACGGTCTACCCAGCTCAACAAAACCACGTCAGTTTTCTAATTCGAAAGAGGGCTCACATGGGACACTCTGATTTCAGGATCACCTCCTCAGTCATGTCCCGACCCCTCACCGGTCGTCAACTTATGTCCAGCCAGAGGGCCTATGGGGATGTAGCAACAAAGGATCATATCAATCATCCTCCTTTGTGCAGGTCCCATTGAAAATGCCGGAGTGTTTGAAAGGCCTATTAAAGCAGGTGCAAAGCTATATCCGAAAGACATGGAATGGAGACCCCACATTCAGTGCTATAGTGATGCTATAGTAACGATCTTGATGAATTGCAAAGGTATCGCCACCATCAGAGAGGTCCCCCTGCATTTGTGAGTTACACGATATCCGGGTTATACAACACATACACCAGAGTTGGAAGAATCTATTAATTTCTAGTGAGATTCTGAACGTTCAGAAAGCTTGCTGCACAGTGAAAAGGTCGTTTGCAGAATCTCGTCATCACTCCTGTGCCACAGGATGTTCCACAGCAAACAACAGTTGAAATTCCTCATGAATGAGTCTGACTGGCTTGGAGATTTCAAAGTTCCAGAAACTGTAGTGGGACCTTCGTTTGGGCCGAAGATAGGCTTACTCCCTTTGATGTGGAGTTCCTCCCCAAAGCTGACTGCCAGAGGCAGACTATTTTTCTTCAACTTAGGACACCTCCAAAGGTTTTTGAGCAGCGCTGCTTCCTCATGCATGGAACCCGTGGGTTTCCGGAAGCTCTTCGGCGGGCACTCCATGCGGAGCTCATCGAAGTGAGGGCTGTCCAAACCGGCCTGCAACCTGGGGAGGGTGGAGGAAGCCCTGATGCCGCATGTCCCTTTGGTCAGCGTATATCTCCGACGGAAACGTCCCAACTTCGGGTATGTCTCCGACTCCTCCCCGCCCACGAGTTCAGATGCCATCGACTGGTCCAGAGGGGGAGTTTTGGGTTGCGAAATGAAGTTGGATCAACTGCTGTCTCCAACAGCTGTCTCTAACAACGTCGGGTTGTATCAAGGGAGCTTGGCTTGATGTTTTCCATTCAGTTTTACATCAAGTTCCTGGTGCAACAGCAGGATCGACCAGGTGAACGAACTGTGATGGCGTGGAGGATCCATTGAAGATTTCAGTCTTGGGGCCTGTAGTAGTGTGAACCCCAACTTGGCACTGCAACACATAGGTGAGTCGATGTGTCTTTGAAACATAGGGAAAGCCTGGCCATTCCCGGCCTTTTGGATGGGCTCTGTCCCCCCAGAGCTCTGGTTTTTCTAACTCCGCGACGGCGACCTGGAAAAGGCCTGGAACAGCTCGGCCCCTGCGACGTGAAAGGGACATGTATGGAAATGTCACATTTGAAGAACCTGGTAGCCTGGTTTGGTAGCCTGGTTCGGTCGATTTCCCATGATTTCCCATGGTTTGCATCACTAATGGTCAGTGCTACGAGGATGACAGATGCAGTCGTGATGGAAAACAAACAAAACCCAAAGGACGCAACACAACCCAAAGTCCACACACGGCACCTTTCGTGGGGTCGAGTGCTTCAAAAACAATCTACGCCATCTACATCTTATACAGTGGTAACTACTAGCACCACCCAGTTCGGGTGTATAAATAGATCCCATACTTTTCCATTCAATAACCACCCTTTTGGTGCTGGTTAGTGGTATTATCATGAATGCAGGGACCCATGTGCCTTTCACAAACTGCTCAAATCTGGAAGAAAGAAACAATGTGGTAAATATACTATATGCAACAACAAATAACAATATTATATAGATACACCTAGAGCCAAAACATGACCTCTGTTTTGATAGGACAAAACATGACAAAACAAGATTTTGGGTTGCTGATGATCCAAATAAAGGTCACTCAGGCATAGTCATTTGCGGCGGATGTTTTCACCACACATGGGCCGCTTCTCCAAGTGGCATCCGTTCATAAGCCATGCCCGCTTCCAAGGACTCTTGGGTCGCTTCCACGCCTGTGTTCGCAGGTTCTGGGTGACTCCCGACAAACCCAACGATAAGACATTTTGAGGTTCACCACAGTTGGTACACAACGGAATTAATGAATAGTTTGAAATTATAATTCAACCCCGTATATGAAGAGTTTTTACCATCCATATGGGAGTTTTATGGGAGTTTAAGTATCAACAGTTCGACATTTCGTGTGCAAAACAGTTAAATCCCAAATCCGATCCACTCTCCACCTGGGACACAACGTCCAGTTGGGATCCAAAGAACCATCGAAAACCAAATCAAAACCGCTTGACATCGCTTAGACCGTCGACGATTCGTCTGGAGACGGTGATCCTGGCAGGCTATGAGTAAGTGATCCAAATCAAACCCTATAGCGGACCAGGATCATTGCAGCCTCACAACAAAAATCTATCTATATATACAGTAACTACAAATGGTGTCATGCACATCCTCATCCGCCCATCCCAATTGGCGTTGTTTTACTTTCTCGTTCGCACCCGTCCCCGCCGGGCGCTAAACCATGACAACGCCAATGGAGTGCAAAGGGCCGCATGGCCTCGCATGTTTTCAACGACCTAGGGGGATCCAGACCATCCGACTGGAAGAGTTGCTTAAACCTTCACTTCGTGACCTCAAAAGGTTTGGGAGTCTCCAGTTTGAGCTCTTTAGGGACGAGTCGTGACCGCAGGATAATCTCAAGGAGGGTCACTTTGAAGGTCGGAAATGAGAAACGTACCTACTCCAGATATATAGGAGGAGGAGGGTCACTGTACCTACTCCAGATCGGGCCAGACCTTTCATGGCCCACACCTCGGGTCAGCGCCGATTCAACTGACACTCAACACGTGAACCGATTCCGGTAAACTGGTTTTGGAGCGGCTTTGACCGACAAGTAAGTGAAACTTATCCTGAAACTGAAGCCAACAGCCATGAATTCGTCCACAGGTCTTCATAATGATTAACTGTAAGGGTGTATCAGTATCATCCACGCCAATCCCTCATACCCCGTGCCTTACCCCGTCAGGGTACCCCTGGAAAATTGTTCATTATTCCGCTATACCTCGACCTCACTTCGTGAAAATTATTCTGACCGTGGTGAGTTGTTTGGAATGATAATTGCACTTCTTGAAAACGTTCAATGCATGAGGTCTGCAAAACCGGTTACATGTGGCCGTGATATACATAAATCCAAAGCCATATATAATTCCCAAAACAACATCCAACGTACGCTGAGTTGCTTTGCCTTTCAGCGGCAGTCCAACATATTTCTGGTAGTATCTCAATGATGAAACCCACAATAATAACTAATAACTAGATGTGAGCTCAGCACCCAGGATGCCCTTCCCGGTCCTCGGTCCTTTCATCTGGCGCCCCCATCTCCCATCCCCGCGTACCGCCCCCTCCGCGTGGCTACCGCGTGCCTCGGCCACGCGGCGCACCTTGCGCGGCTTGGCGCTGGGATGATCGATGCGCTTCGGCACCTCGCTCGGCGCTGCGGCCGGTCGGGGGTCCGGTCCGAAGGGTCGGTGGGGATGGCGGCAGTTGGGGGTTGATGATCCTGGTCTCATCCTGTGAAGGGGTGTCCTGCAAGGCTTCTTAGGTAACTGGAAACAACAAGTAATTAATGGATCTTTTGAAGAAACCATGAGATGACTAAGAGAATAATACATCCTACACAATCTGCACTCCCCATACCCTTCCCTCAATCCAGAAAGCCGTCAGGTACAAAGTCAGGGTCCTGCCTAATTATACTCTAGGTAGAGGACACACCATCGCTTGCTGTCCGAATTGTGGGTCAATCCTTTCCAAACTGATTAGCTTTTCCAAACTTCTTCTGCACTCAGCCCGCATCTGCTGCGCATGTACGCACAGCACAGCAGGCCATCTCGCCACTCTGAAGCCATCTCGTCCATTCTGAGATCCTCTGACATCCATATGGAAAATCCACCAAAACCCTCCAACACCTCCGCAGGGAAGCCGGGAAGCCCCCCGTCCCAAAAAACTCCCCGTCCCACGCGGGTGGCACAGGGAAGTCGCCCCGTTCCATCTCGGCGCTATAGACCCGGAGCGCCATAAGGCCTCGACGTCGAGGCTTCCAAGCTACTAGCGAGGGCCTCCAAGCTACTAGCGCCTACTAGCGATGGCCTCCAGGACAGGACAGGATGGTTTGGGCTCCGGAGACTGCTGAATGGAACCGGGACACACAAAAGAATACATCTCCTAGAAGGGAATTGTATAGGGGATAATGAAATAACATCACCTGAAATAATCATAGGGGATAATAAGGAAACAAGAAAACTATAGGGGATAATAACATATAATAACATCACCTGAAATCTGCAACACCAAACAAAAGAACAGTACACACTCTGGGTGCTCCGCTGTGCCCCCGCCTCCTTCTGGCCGCCTCAAGGGTCGCCGGCACAGGGGGCAGCCGCGGGTGCCGGCGGCTTGCGCCTGGCGTTCCCGACGATCGAACCCTCTATAACAGGAGTTTGGGGCCCCTCCAAACCCTTGCAACAAGGGCGCAAACATCCTGGGTGGATGAATCCAGGCAGCATGCACTGCCATGAATCATGGCATGGCGGACGTTTTTGGGGCCGAGCATGGACCTCCGACCTTTCACAGCAAGGAGGTCTTCCCAGGCACTGGGATACTTAGATGAAAGGTCTTCCCAGGCACTGGGCTGGTCTGGAGCAATATATACTCTTACCATCTCTTGCCAACTTCTCATCAAGATCTCGCGCTAAACGCTCACGCAAAAAAACTTGTGAAGCATGTAGGATCCGCTTGGTGGTGTTTCAGACATGGAGTGTAGTCTACAACACAGTTGCTAAAGTTGTACTCAAACCTACTTGGGGTGGTGTCCAGTTGTTACTGGCATCCCTAGAGGCCAACGAGCAGTGTCACGAAGCACCTGTATCCGGCTGTGAGTCCAGTCGACGCCCCTGCCGAGCAGGCTGGTCCAGTCCTTCTCCAAGCAACTGCGATGGAAGTGATGGCCACACGCCTGGGTTGACGTGGCGGCGCGCATGTTTTTGTGTCTCTGAAAAGAAGCACTGTTCAAGACCTTTTTCACGCATTCATCACTGATGAGTCTCCCTTAGGAAAAATAAGAAAGACCTTGAAGTTACTTGAAACAACACAAACCCATCAAAGACATGATACAAACGCAGAATCCTCGATGTCTCCAGGGTCTTGGGGTCTTGGCATCTTCTGGGGCCCAAGAAGAAGTCCCTGCCCACAGTTCGCAGTTCATGTTGGAGAAGAAACAAGTGAAGTGGAACCACTGGTGTTCATAATATGAGCACAGTCCGAAGCAAGTTTGAAGTTAGAGTTTTTTAGAACCACAGCAAGTTACAAAAGAACACCCAGCTGGGAACCCCACGTTAACAGTGTTGCTGTGTTCCCTACGTAAAAAGAGTCTCTGCATGAACGGACGACCCCAACCACGCTCACACAGTCAGACTGGTGCCCCCTCTATTCGCAGTCAGACGGGCACCGTAATGGCGTTGCAGCCTGTGTTGAAGCAAATGGCGCAATCGTCAGTGCCTCCGGCCTTAGGGGATGCCAACACCGCACCGCCCCGAACAACCTGCGTTATTTGCTGCGGTATTTCTTTGGGATGGAAGAAGGGGACCTGCATCTCCACGAAGAAATGCTGTGATTGTCAAGTCTTTTCATTATCAACTTGAATCTACTTCAGGATGACCAGTCTTCTTTTTCCAACCATATCATATTATATATATATGCTTCGTCATCCTTCCTTCTGCACGTCCCTTCAGTCCAGTGCATCCTGCACGTGCATTTGCTGCACCAATCATCCAAAATAGAAACATCCTTTCATCGAGCCGAATACAAGCCCTGATTACAAGCCCCCTGGAAGCTGTGAGTGAGCTTGAATTCGGAATACACCCCCCTTGATCCCAGTGAACTTGATCCGAGAACGAACAGCCAGGCTGCTGCCAGGACCTCTTGCCTCCTCCGCTGACTCAAGGCTTGAAAATGCTGGGACGAGCTCACAGCCACCCGCAAACAGGCCACGTCCGCAGCATCGTTGCTAGGAGTGCAATACCTCAGAGTGCTCACTCAGTCATCGTCAGCGGTGCCTTCCGACGGAAGCGGCGTCTTCAGGAGTCATGTTCGACGCGGGTGGTGTGAAACGTCCCATCCAGTGAGTGGAGTAGCTGGGCACCTAACCTCCTTCCTCCATGGATCGCATGTCGAACGTGACTGCCAGTCCCATGTGTTGCTCAGTCCCATGTGTTTTTGGCATCTTTGGAACCGCATGAATCGCCCAATTTCACCCATCAGAGCCAAGTTGCAAGACTGCAGCGACCTCACCCTTGTCCAGATTCGAGAGCGCATAGAGGACACCTGGGCAACGCTGTGCCACCAAATGGGTCTCACTCAGCCCCCGGGCTTTGAAGATCTGCGTTCCTCTAAGCACATGGACGTCACTGAGTGGAGTTGAAGACCAGGAAAATGGGAATCACTCGAACCTGCATGTCGGTTTCAGCTCCAAATTTGTCTTGTTCTCTTGTGCAACTCGTCAAAGTCCCCTCCGCGGAACTGCAACGGATTTAGTTATACCTACAATGAGCCGAGCCTAAACTCAATCCCTCAGTTTCCCTTGAACAACAACAGGTTATATATATAACATTATATAACCATGCATAAGTTCTATCTGTTTTGCTCGTCACAGCAGGGTATTCTGGTGAAGCCATCGAAACTCTGGCCAGGTTAGCCAAAAAGAACACAAAATCAGGTCAAGACAACGGTTAGGCATCCCCGGAATCCGCCAAAAAGGTGAAAGGTGATCCACTGACTGGGTAGGTCACTGGAGTACTACAAACTGCTTCCAGTCGCGTGAATTTTCTGGGACGTGGAAGAACAGACGGACCAGCCGCGGGTTACGCGGGACCCGCTGGTCGGGGTGGTGCGGGGAACCGTGGTGCGTCCAGCCGTTGAGGACTGGAGGACTGGTTTTCAGGTCCTGGAAGCTTCAAGTGCTTCAGCTTGACAAATACCAAGGTGTTGACAAATACCAAGCGTGTTTCTATAGCTGGTTTTGCTCGCTGGTCCGATGGGGAGAAGAAGCTCATAATGTAGACTTCAGAGCAAAATCCGCTCAGGTCCCTACAGGGTATCGAATCCTCCTCCAAGATTCTCAAGTTTCAATGTTCAAGGATCGAAGGATCGATTTATCTGAGTCACCTGTCTCAACCATTATACTGCTCCGATCTAAACCTTCACATTCTGCACACCTAAACCACATGAGAAGTTTTGCACTCTGTTGGAGAAAGGTCCTCTAGCCATGTCTAGCCTCCTCATCTTAAGAATCGAAAGCACCAGTCTGCATGCCCCCAACCAAGCTGAGCCCGCCCAGCTGGGAGCTGAGCCTACCCACCCACCGAGCCACACAGCGCTGAAGCCGTGGTGGTCTTCCCAGTGCCCGGCGGACCGTGGATCAACGACAACTCCTCCTGGTTTCACACCCAGACCGATCGAAGCTGAGGCGACGCGACGCGGGGTACGTTCACAACGGTTTCCAGTGGATTTGATGATCAGGATGTCTCGCAAGGGTGTGTCTTTTTTCGATACACTTCTCCACACATCTCTTGATTTCTTTAGCAAAAGTGTTGAATGATGGGATCATGAACCAGCCATGTCCGTGGGCAAGTGTCAAGTACAAGTATGTTGGATGTCTGATGATTTCTGGGCATGGAAACATGCATCTTTGCCGAAGCTAAGGTGCTCGGCAGATTCTCATCATATTCAATCACCCGTTTTCTCAACATCTGCTCCTGCGTCTCATTTCCGTAACAGAAGCAGCTGCGCCAACACACGACTGTGAAATCCGAGTGGGTCCCACACCTTTAAGACAGGGACTTCTGTGATGTGTTTTTTTCCTTTCTCAGACGTACAAATTGACACAACAAAGCTCACTGACCTGTGACCTGAGCATCCTCAAGCTTCCTGGACCTTGAAACAGTTCCAAGATGTTCCAAGTAAGAGCATGGCAACTCCATTGACATATGTATCACACTTGAACCCATCGTTCTCCTTTTAGGTTCCACATGAAAACCCATTGGCGCGCACCTGCAAAGCGCTTCGAACAGCCAATTCCTGTGGAGGATTGAGCTTCCAGGGCTTTAGATCCAAACCTGTCCACCCGCGCAGGAGAACCGTTGGCCCCATGAAGTCAAACGGTGACCCACTCAGAAGCGGTGAAGTATCAACAGCTGGATGTTCCAGCTTGTCCTGGACTGGCATGACATACCATTTCAAACGATGGTTTACACTATTAAAGAGAACAACACACCAGGTACATCTGATGGTACCTGTTGAGGATGGGTTTTAGCTTGGCAATATCCATTTACCAAAAGGAACATAAACACATGTGAATGGACGTTTGGATGGGACATTCCGCAACGTCCGCTTGCAATAGCATGGTGGGATAGCATCGCCTCTTTGAGTGTGTTTCCATCTCCTTGGACACGGGTACTCTACTCTGCAGTAGTAGCAGTCAACTGGGTCAACCAATTTGGCACGGCATTTTGCCATGCAACACGTCCAAACATTCCAAACGTTGATACATCAACATGACGATTACCGCATCACAAAGAAGCTGGCTTGTGTGTGAACAGACCAACCCCCGTGAGAAACAATATCTCAAACGCCTGAAACAACCACATCTCCTCACCCCGCTCACATACCCAACGTTGGTCGGGCGTCCCACTCAATCCAACCGTCGGTCGGTATGTTGAGATGCCATGTTCTAGCATGTGTTTTGGGGATTCCCTGTAGCTCCTTGGCTATCCTTGGCTCCTGTTTAACAAAGATCCCCTCGTCCAGCACCAGCTTACACACCAGGGCTATCCTGACAATAACTACAAAGTTGTTGCTATTACAGTAATTAACACAGAAGAACATCATTGGCTGACATAAAACCCCAAATCGAGCTTAGGTTGCCGTGTTTTCAGCGCATGTCTAGTTAGGAATGCCTGGCCGGCAAGCAACACAGACTTGCAGATTTGACGATTTCTTGGAGAGCCTGCAGAAAATATGTTCCTTGATGTTCCTTGTATTATTAAACATCCAAATGTCCCACAGTTCCACAATGTTCTATACACTTGGCAGGCATGCTGTAGCTCAGCCCAGGCCTTTCAACTTTACGTCTCCTCCATCGGCATGCCACTCGCCCTAGCAACGTCTTGCACACAGACATGTGGACGGTCAATATTTCCGTCAACATTTTCCCATGTGAGGGTACGTAGCTGCGGGGGATGGACATGCAAACATGAAACGCAATCCTCGAATCCTGGCTGGCAGTGCCTTCGTTGAGAAACTGGCAAGCTAGTACAACAAGCAAAGCGTCCCATGAATCAAACCTTTCTCGAAATCTTGGGTGATCTTGGGCAAGTTATTTGGCTGCGGCTTGATAGATGTCAAACCACTGGCACTCTTCTTTTTTGTGGGAACCTCCATCACTCAGCGAAACCCATGTACAGCATCTTCCAGCGGTCGTGGTCACTCGTCCGGAACACCTGGAGCCCTGGGAGAAAGCGAGCGGACCAAAGGCCAGCAGAACAAAGGAAAACAACTCGCCTCGGCTTGGAGCCTCTTTGGCCTCTGTGGCGCACGAGCCTGCAGGATCACCTGAAGCAAGCGGGTGAGAGGTTGGAATTAGTGGAAGGTATAGTACCTGAAGATCATGCTTTTGGGGGGAGGGGGCTGAGGGCTGGGGTATAGAACTTCACAAAGTGGAGAAACACCAAGCTGGAGGGCAGGAGACCTCATTGAGAGCAATCTGGTCTTTCACTTGAAGTAACCATCTCTTTCGCTTGTACCCTCTGTCACAAGGGGATGTGACCGCCTCGTTTCAGCTCCGCGCCTCGCGCAGCAACTGGGAGGCGATGCTCAGTTCCGCCAAAGCCACTGCCATACAGCCTCGCCCGCAGGCGCGCGCGAACGCGACGACGCGCTCCCTCTCTGCTTCGGCCTTTCGGGTCCCGGTGCCGCGTTTGGGTTCGGCCGGTGCGGGTTCTGCGGGTGTTTCTGCAGGTTCTAGAAGGATGTTCCTCTGCCAAGCGTCTGTAGGGCAAGGACTTGGGGATGAATTCCACGATGTAGCCGGATTTCCTGGCTGAACATTGCGTTTCAGGTTGAGGAATGCCTGTATGGAGATGAATCTCGTCCGAAGAGCCCCAAAATCAGCGGTATAGGTAGGTGAAGAGATTTCAGAAGCGAACGTTGGAACAGCTTCCAAAACCGAAAAGAATCCATAAGTGCTGAACTACAAAGGAGTTCCGGTCGTATCATTTGTTCCCCTCGTGACGCCCCCGCGTCGTCACGACGCGTGAGATCACGTGAAGGCTGCGGCAAAACCGTCCTCTGCCCAGGCTTTGGGGCAGCATCCGAAGCACCGGGGATCAGCTTGAAGGTCATTCCTGACCCAGACCATGGAATAGTCACCGACATTTGGAGTCATCAATGGGATATATATGGTAATGATATGGTAATTATTCTCATGGGGAATGGGGGGGGGCTGAGGGGGGGGGCTATGGACCTTATGCCCAAGGCCTTTTGATATTCCTCACTTGGCATGGTCATTCCTTTCGCAGTGAGCAAAGTCGAACAAAACTGACCTTCAGACTTCGGGACCCATTTGGCATTCGTCGACTGAACGAGGCAGGTCACTGGCTGCGAACCTGGGAGAACATCTCTTTCGCTAGCGCAAGCGAGCTGGCAATCAAGGAACACATCATCTATGGTCCCTCAAAGGGTGTCTATTAATAGCCCGAGGCTAAGAGGTGGCTACCCACCCCGACCGTGGGTCCGGATACCTGTGAATTCTGTGAGCTTGCTTTTGCTAGTATCTCCGAGCAGACTCGTGTGGAACATGTGCGAACACATGGTAAGCTCAATGCATTGTCGAGTGGTCCATAGCCCTCTGTCGTGGGATGTAACATCATGAGTAACCACACAGAATACCTGCTGTGAACAATTAAGATTGCCTCCATCCCAAATCAACACAAATACAAGAGTCTCCGACTCACTGATTGGGAGACACTAGGAGGGTATCCCACCATGTGGAAAATTGGACATGCCCACTCGGACTCCGTAGAAAGCTTTGTCAGCCAAAGCATCGCAAAGACAATGTCTGAGGGATTTGAGCATCTTCTTCACCGACACTCACCTGTCGCTGCATGGATGACCATCTTTTCCCAACTTGTTTACTGAATAGCTAGTAGGTTGGGGGCCATCGCTATTAGGGGGAGGCCATCGCTAGTAGGTTGGAGGCCATCGCTATAAAGTAGGTTGGAGGCCATCGCTA